CTGGCGTGCGGAGCGGCCTGGCGTGGCCACCGAACGGGGCCCCGTGGCCACTCGGGACGGGGCGGCCGGTGGGGGTCGGGAGGGCAGGTCCGCTCCTCGCAGGAGCGCTGCTGCAGCGTAGCTGCGTTTAGTGATGCTAACGAGCTGGGAGGTGGGTGTCTGTCCTGAGATCCCCCTTCAGGACAGGGGAGACTGGCCGGGGGAGGCTCAGGCTGAAGGGCTTCAGACCAGGAAGAAGATGGGTGCCATCAGATCTAGGTGAGGGTGAGGAGCAGCACATTGCCAGCTGCTTCTCAGTGGGTGGAGGACGTAGTGCAGCCCTGCGGGTGCCGTGCCAGGTAGAGGAGAAGCCCTAGCAGAGGGTGGGGACAGCCCCGTTCAGGTGTCCCAGGAAGTCTGCCCACTCTTTTGAGTGAGGAACTGTTCTCCATGTGATGACCAACCCTCTGATAACTTCATGGTGGTTCTGTTTAGGAGGAGAGTGAGGAGCAGCATGTGTTCTGCTGTCTTCCACTCCAAGCTAAGTGGCAAAAGCATTCTCCAGGAGGCTTTTAGCACAGCAAGAGCTGCTGTCCCAAAGGACCACGGTGCTTCCCATGCAGTCTTGTGTGAGTGGGCTGGTCCCCTGAGATGGGATGTCTGGGACAAAACCCCAGTCCTGAGGGGCTGTGAGGTCCTGTAAATGGCCCGATGCCCTCCAGATGGGATGCCAGGAGAGGGGACACCCCGGGGGAAAGCAGAGTGTCAGTGGGAAGCTCGGTTAAAACCACGGGCTCTACTTCTGGCCACTGATAGCCTCCTGTGGTGTGAGAGGGCTGGCTTGTGACTCCTTGTAAGCAAACAGTCTGGGGCAGCACAGCTGCTGTGATGCTTTTTTGTCCCCGTTTGGGGAAAGGGGGAAGATGCAGCTTGCTGGAGTGTCTAAAAATCTGCAATATTGGCTTCTCTGGGCAGTGTGTAAACACTCTTATCTGAGCTAAGTTTAATAAATTGCCCAGTTGTTTGGAGGGCTGTGCAGACCATGTGACTGCTGACAGTGGGTCACAGCTGAGGCTTCCTGCCAGCTGGAGAGAGAGAATGCAGGTTTGCTGCGTGTGAGTGTGGAAAACAAGCACCTCTGGGACAGATTTTTTCCTGATTAAGGCGCTGTGAGGCAGTGATCCTTCTTCCACCAGTTCCTGAGGTGAGAGGCACGTTGGTTTGTGTGGTTGTGTGGTTTGTTTTTTGTTGGTTTTTTTCTTTGTTTGTTTTAAGCCACTTTCCAACAGGCTGATGCTTAGACTCTTTGGGCAGTGGTGAGGTTTGAATGGCTGATCCTCGAGGGTTGGCAAGCCATTCTTCTTGAGGCTTTGAGGCTTCATACCAGTGAAATGGCAGTAGGAAGACTTCCCTGAAGAGCTAGCACTGCTGGGAGCTGCAGGCAAATCTAGGAAGGTGGCTGGACTGGGCCACCTTGTCCTGTGTTCAGACCTGATCCATTCCCCTTGCCCAGCTGACCTGTGTCCCCTGGGGATGCCATCTTCTGTGATGGCACCAGTGCCAATAGCCACCTGTGTTTATAGAACAGGGGTCTTCCTCTGCCAAATGGGAGTAGAAGCAGGTTCTGAACATGGCCACAGATTCCAGTTGCAGTGCTGCTCCCATCACCTGGAGGGTTTGGATGAATTGGCTGGCGCAGGGTATGGTCCTCATGTGCAGCAGGAGGGTTTGGGCTCCTGTGGGGACTGAGTGAAGCAGCATGTCCCCCACTGTGCTCCTCTGCTGCAGCTTTTCCTGGGAGTAACTTCCTTGTTTGGGGCTCGTTTGCTTGAGCTACTCTGTCACTCAGCAATATTGAACTGCACAGCCTGCCCACTGCTGGCCCTTGTCCTCGCAGGGTCCCTCTGGACTGGCCCCAGCTTTGTCCCCCAGCTGCCTGCCATCCACAACAGATGCTCAGGCCTTTAGGGAAATGAGACCCAGGAACCTGAACTCAGAGCCTGGGGCTTTGGGTTGGCACAGACAAGGCAGATGGCTTCCATTTGCATTGGGTCTCCCCCAGTGACACTGTTGTGAAGCTGGCAGCTCTTGCAGCTGCAAGGTGTTGCGTTACTGCTAGTCCAGTGGAAGCAACTGCCTCCCAGAGTGGGCAAAGTAGTGGGCAGGAGGGAGTTCTGAAGAGTCTGGAGTTTTAAACCACTGAGAAGCTCTTCAAAGTACTGAGGTGTCTTTTTTTTCCTTCCTGTAGACTGTCGCCAGTACACGAACAGGAGCTGTGAGGAGTGTCTGAAAAATGTCACGGTAAGTAGCAGCAGTAAAACTCTCCCAACCTTTTGCAGTGCCTGAAAACACTGTGTGAGCTTGGCAGGACAGTTACAGAGCAGTTTCCCTCCTGGGAGCAGGGCTGCTCCCTTGCCCTGAGTACACTGTAAACGCCACCCACCCATGATGGTGAGAAGGCAAATGTCTCCTAGTGCTCTGGGGAGAGGCTGCTAGAAGCTGCTTAGGTTTTGTTGTATGCTTTTAGGGTTGAACAATGGAATTGCTGAGCCCCTCCTCATGGATGGGAGACGCTGTCAGGGCCATGTGCATGGTGAAGGAGCTGAGTGGGCTGAACCTGGCTGGTCATGCTGCCCCTCCACCAGTCTGGGGGTGCCATGGTGCTGGGTGGATGCAGGATGCATACCCGTGTCCTGCCCACCTCTGCTACCTTATCTCTGGTATCAGCAAACTTGAACTTGAGTCAGATCTTGCAGCTGACATAGCCAGAACCAGTTTGGCCAGAAACAGTTTGACCAAACCCAACCAAACACTGGTGTTGGGGGTTGGAGCCACCAGAAGAGGAGGTTACAAAGGTGCTGCTGGTAATCTGGCTGGGAAAGAATAGTGAGGGGGCACACACACAAAACTCCTTATCACCTTTGTACTGAGAGGCTTGTCTCAAAGGCTTTTGTGCCCCTACAGTGCTGTGTGGAACAAACAATTTGGTGATTATTACCATCATGCAAGCCAGGAGAAGAGTTCCCAGCACCTTTACTTGCTTTAGAAATCTGCATCCCGTTGCTACGGAGAGGTCCCTGGGGGCAGGCAGTGGTGGCCCTGTAGGTGCAGCTGACAAAGCAGAGCATGGCTAGCTGGCAGCACCCCTGCTCACCAGTAACACTGGGCTGCCTGGTTCCTGTGTCCCAGTGCCTGTGGTGTGCCAGCAGTGGGAGGTGTGTGGAGTACCCCGTCCGAAGAGTCCTCCCCCCGGCTGACCTCTGCGAGCTCCGCTCTGCACGCTGGGGAGTCTGCTGGGGTAAGTGGAGCCCTTGTGCTTGAGTGATGACTGCCTCGGGGGCTTGCTGCTCGATGGCACTGCCTGCTGCTCCTGCTAGGGGTGATGGGAGGCTTTCCTTGCCTTGCTTCCCTTTCTTTCTGCTGGGGTAGCAGTGAAAGGCTGAGGTAGTCAGGGTTCTCCAAACCTCCCGAGGCGTGGGTGAGGAAGCAGAGTGTGAGCAGTCTCTGCCTTCTGGCAAGAAGGACTTGTTGGGCTTTAGCTACTCTAAATACATTCCTCATGCTTTGGTGTGATGGAGGCTTCCCAATGTGGCTAGCACCTAAGAACAAGAGTCAGAGGTGCTCTGTGGGCAGCTGCCCACACAATCCTTAATCCTTCTTGGTGCTCAGTGTTCACACTAGTGTTGGACTCCTGGGCAGCCATTTACTCTGCACCCCATGTGTTGCTTCTTGCATGGCTGCTGGCTCTTCCCATCTGACAGTGTTGCTGCTTTCCCAGCAGGCTCTTAAAATTCACAGGGACTCTTGGAAACAGAAATGAGATGACTTCTCTGGAGGCCTGTGTGGGCTTCTAGTGCTGAGCGTGCTGTGGTCCTGCTCAGCCCTTGCCCATGTGAGAACTCCCTTTTCCAACCCCAGCTGTGCTGCAGCTGGCTGCCTGCAGCCAGGTCCCCTCTGAGAACTTCTTCTGGCTGCCTTTCCTCCTTGGTGCCCTGTTTGCTGGTGTGTTTCTGGAGAAATTAGTGTCTTGTTTGGACCAAACTTGGTGCATGCTCGTGCTCAGACAGGACTTAGCTTTTGAGGGCTTGAGGAAGGAGGCTGGGGCTTGGTTCCTCTCACCTGCCCCCTTGATGGGGAACTTGGAGCTGAATTGTGGTTGCCTGTCATCTACTGTGCTTGAGGCTGGGCTCTCTTCTCTACCCATGAGAGAACTGCCCCCATACCTTGTGGAGGAAGAGTCTCCTCTGTGAGCACTACAGGATGCTTTCCTGAAACTTGTGTAAGACCTTGAAATACTAGTTTTTATGTTGAGTAGCTTCATGAAAGGTTTCATTATATAACAATGCATTCCTTTGTTTGTAAAACTTGCTTTAGAGGAGATTAGCTCTTAAATGAGTCTGCATTTTTGGTGTGTGAGACTTAAGCTTTTTATCATCAGGTGGAGGAGTGCCCAGTGCTGTGCTGTGGACCTCTCTGGGAAGGGGTGCTTCTGAACCCCAAGCTCACCCTGAAAGCCAAGGCTTCAGAAGCATCAATACAGACACGAGCTGGTGGAGAAACTCCCTTTTGAGCTGAAGAGTCTGTTTGGGTTTGTCTCACTCCCACTGGGCTGAGTTCTGGTCTTTGGCTTTTGAGCTCTCCCCTACATGACTCTGTGGGTCTGTTGCAGTGCAGCCAGCAAAAGCTTCATCTTGCTCTGAGGCAAGACAGTGCTGTGGACAGTCAGGTCTTAAATACCATCTTTCTGCCAGCCTTACTGGGAGCCCAGACCTCTGTACTGCTGGGTGACTGCTGGAGAGGTTGCCTGTGAGGATAAACAAGAGTGTGCAAGCTGGTGGCTTGCTGACTTCTGGTCTCACCCATGACCTGCTAGGCCATGGCATCTGTCCATGGTTGGTGTGTGGAACCACATTCCTTGCATGGAGCTTGCCATGGTAGCCTGGGTAGGGATGGAGTATGATCTGAGAGGTGGCACAGTTGCTGACAGGGATCAAGCTCTCACAGTAGGAGTAGGAGGCTGGAGGCTTTGAAAGCAAGTTCAGTGGTGGAGTCAGCTCATCCTGGAGCACCCCAATAAGCCTGCTCCTGCTGAGTCCCTGCAGTGAGGGGACAGGCCATCATCTTCTGAAATGCCCTGTGTGCAGTGCTCAGGCTTTCCACTGGAATCTCTGTCTGTGTGGAGAAGAGGGGATCAGAAGTGCCCTGAGCAGGCTCAGATGCACTAGGGTTGCTCTAACTTGGCTGCTGTGTGTGAAGTGGCTCCTAAACAAATAATTCCACAGACCCAAGTCTCTGAATGGTCTGAGTCATACTTGGAAGAAACCCTTCTTTGTTGCACAGGATTCCAGGTGACATCTAGGTGTATCTGTTTTGGCTGCTGCCACTGCAGGAGCTGAGTGGGACGACTGCCTCCTGGGCAGCAGAGCTCAGAGCTGCTGTGGCACCACCACATCCCAGCAGCTTTTGTGCTGGGCGTGGGTGAGCAGATCCCCCAAGCTCTGGGGAGATGTGGTGGTGGGGTGCATGAAGCAGCCCTCTGCTTTCAGCTGTTTCAGCAGAACTGCTGGCCTCCAGCCAATAAATCCCAGTGGATCCTGTCTTGCTTTCTCTCTCATCCAAGGACTCCAGACAGGTGTAAGTGTCCCCAGCACACTGTCATCTCATCTTGCATGACTTCTGGCTCCTGTGGGCAGTAGCTCCTAGTGTTGAGCTGTGGCCTCTCTGTTGGAGGTTTCCTCTCAGTACTGAAGCCTCCATTTATTTTTTTTCCCCTTAATGTGTTACTGTTCACCTGGGTTAGTGATTAAGACAGCTTTGCTCCTGTTTCTGCTGGAGGAGTTTGACCTGAGTGAGCCTGTTCTTGCATTTTTTTCAGAGCCAGTGGCTGAGTGCTGTACTTAGCAGCTGCATGTGCTGGGAGGGGGTGTGTGTGCTGCTGCCAGTGCTGGGGGTACCTATAGATAACCACATCCACCTTGCTTCTGCAGGCTGATAAGCATGTCTCTAGCACAGTGGCTGGAGCTGCTGCTGACAGGAGCTGCATCACAGAGTCACAGAGCATTAGGGGTTGGAAGGGACCTCGAAAGATCATCTGCTCCAACCCCCTTGCTAAAACAGGATCAGCTACATCAGGTCACACAGGAAGGCGTCCAGGGTTTGGAATGTCTCCAGAGGAGACTCCACAACCTCTCTGGGCAGCCTGCTCCAGTGCTCTGTCACCCTCACTGTGAGAGTTTTTCCAAAAACCTCCTATGATCCAGCTTGTACCCCTTGCCCCTTGTCCAACCACTGGATCTCACTGAGAAGAGCCTGGCTCCATCCTCCTGACACTTGCCCTTTACATATTTATAGACATTAATGAGGTCACCCCTCAGTCTCCTTTTCTCCAGGCTAAAGAGACCCAGCTCTCTCAGCCTTTCCTCATAAGAAAGATGCTCCACTCCATCTTTGTGGCTTTGTGCTGGACTCTCTCCAGTAGCTGCCTGTCTTTCTTGAACTGAGAACTAGATAGAGTACTCTAGGTGGGAGTAAAGCAGAGCAGAGGGGCAGGAGAACCTCCCTCGACCTGCTGGCCACACTTAATGCATGCCAGGATGCCACTGGCCTTCTTGGCCATGAAGGGTGCACTGTTGGCTCAGATGTGTGCTGAATTGGCTCATTGTGTGCTTACAGATACTGGCAGTTGTGTATTGGTGTGCTCAATGTGTTGTGTTACATCCTTTAGTGAACTTTGAAGCCCTGATCATTGCCATGTCTGTGGTGGGAGGAACGATCCTTATCACACTGGGAGGCTGCTGCTGCTGCTGTTGCAAGAAAAAGAGGAAAAAGCAAGTATTGGAGTTGTTCCCTGTTTTTCTTGGGGTGGCTCAGAGGCAACCCACGTGCTGTTGCAGAACTGAGTGCTGAGCACTACTAACAGGCTTTTCTGTCTGTCAGGCCAGACAAGGATGATGAGAGAGCAGCCAGGGAGCAGGAGAAGAGGCGTGTGCGTCAGGAGGAGAGGTGAGGTCTCCCCACAGCCCCTGCTTCCCTCTGATTGAGCCAGGCCTCGGGCCACAGAACAATTTGGCTCCTTGTCTGTACAGTCAAACATGATGCCAGGAGGCATGTGGGGCTTGACACATGTAGTCATCATCTGCCTCAGCCCTAGCTCAGCTGCAAACCTCATGAGCAATGTCTTTCTGAGCTGGCTGGTGGATGCAGCATCACAGGAATGCTGCTATGTGTGGGCTCTGGTGGTCTCCAGTGCCTCCAGGAGGTGAGGAAGTGGGTGGCATGGGGCTGAGCAAGCCTGGAGCTCCCTAGGTTGGGAAGAAGCTGTAGCTACTCTTGCTTGGTTCATTGATCTGTGTTTTTTTTCTGTTGGCTTCTTGCAGGCGAGCAGAGATGAAATCACGTCATGATGAGATCCGAAGGAAATATGGTACAGTGCTGGCATGAGCAACTCAGACTTGATCAAGCAGCCTCTCTAACTGTGTTCCTTGCTGTGCTTACAGCTGCAGAGGAGACCTGGCCAGGGAGAACAGTCTCTGCTTCCCATATCTCAGTGAATTGCTCTCTTACCCTTTGGGAGCAAGTGTGGAGATGCTTAGGTTATGGTGTATGATCCCACACAACTGCTGCTCCTCTTGGGCAGGGAAGAGGGGGTGTTTAATACTCCTTGGGACCTGTGTCCTCCAAACCCACTATGTGAGAGAAGCTGCTGTGGCTTGACTGGAGGGGAGAAGCAGAAGCTGGTAGACATGGCCCTTCAGGCATGGTCCTACATTAGCCATTGGTTAATGAGAGGCTGGGGAGTCAGCAGAGTGGGGTGGAGAGGCAAGACCCTCCTGGGGCTGGACTGTTCTTCAGGTGAGTCCCATGGCCCTGGGGAAGGTGGTACCTGCCTGAGAGGACCAGCTGCTTGGAAGGAAGCAGGGAGGAGCCATCTGCTCAGAGCTGGTAGGAGGGTGTCTCCTGCCTGCCCATTAGGGCTGCTGGAGGCTCTCCCAGAG